TGTAAGCCCATTGACAAAGTGAACATTGTTCCTCTAGGTAACACATTCACTGGGCTACCTCATGAGCAAGCTCTGTGTTCGAGGACAAAAGATGGACCAGACCCCACTCAGAGACTGGAAAAGTTGGTGTGTTCCCCAAAAGCAAAAGGGAGGGACCCCAGTGATACCTATAGGTTGCACACAGTTTTAGGACTGGCTGTCTTTAGGCTTTCGTAGTAAACAGCACAGGAGACTTATTGTACAAGGTCATTAACTTGGGCAAGGACCAGGGTCTGCTGTTCTTGTCCTGATGCTTCGTGACGTCAGATGAAAGTGACTCTTCAAAGTGCCTCTTGGCATCAGATCTCTCCGTGACTCTCAGGCTTTCCCTGTAGCTGAGAGCAGCACGGGGTAGGGCTGCTTCAAGCTCCTTCATTCTTGTTCCCTTTTTGAGGGGACTGGAGGTTGTGTTTTTGAAGATACATCCCCAAAGCGCTCTGTCCTCTAGCGTATTTGTCACAGCCTGGAAAGGAAATGCCTTGAGTGCCCAGAAGACGTGATTTTATTCCTTGTTGGTTCAAAATACCAAAATAAGTTTAGTCTGGGCTGTTCTTAATGAAACACATCTTTTAACGTGAAACCAGTCTCAGTTGGAGGGATGCACGCTTTGGGGAGAAATGCATGGCGACTTTTATTTTGAGCCATTTATATTCTGATATGCTTGCATGGTTTCTGCCTTGTCTTAATTACAATCTCAGGCAGAGTGACTGCCCTGTAGAGAATCATCCTAAAATACCCAATCAAGTTATAAATCACGTCTAAATGCCAGTCTGAAATATTCCTCTCTGTGCAACCTTGGCAGAGAAACCATGCTGGAAAGCGCTTCTTCACGTTACAATCATATATCTTCAAGGAAATTATGATTTTCACTTTTTTTCCATTAAATTCTTTTATTCAGCTAATAATTAGACTTTTAACAATATTTAAATTTAATTTACTAATTTTAAATAATATTAATATAATTTTACTATAACCTTAAATTAATATAATTTAATATAATATAAATTAGTATAATTCAATAAATAAATATAATTAAATATAATATAAATGAATATAACTTTAAATAATATTGATTTAATATTAAAATTGTAATAATTAGAATTTTTCTAATAATTAGAATTCTAATAATCAGAATTTTTAAAAAATTATTTATGAATTGTAATGCCAAGACTTTTAAAGTTGACAAATACTTGAACATGTGACCCCCCCACACACACACACAGAACACATGCACACATATCGTAATCTTTCGTTGTACACACAGAGCCTTAATCAGATGCATGGCCACCAGATTCCATATTGGATGACTCAGACATCTGTTTCCTCCTCTGGGATGGTCATTTAGTGGTCTACAGGGTCAGCAGGTTTGAGGTTCAGAAACAGTGGGTTTCCGATTGTAATGACTTGTGCAAATCAGCCAAATTTCAAAAAAGCGAGGAAATGAGTAAGACAGCCCCAAATGTATGCACATTATCTAGAAAGTGCTCACATCCCCCAGGTGCGTACTCTTGGGTCCTGCTGGTCCATGATCTCTTTCCAGCCCTCAGCACCCTCTTGGTGGGTTGGGGGTAGATTTGGGCAGTAGAAAGACTTGATCCTTGGACTCAGCGTAAAGTCTAGGCGTGACTCAGCTTATGCACCTGTCATGTGTCTGTGGCTTGTGGATACTCTCATCCACGTTGACTTGGAGAAGAGTTGAGTGGGCCAGAATTTCCCAACAGAACTCAGTTTCTAAGTCCTGACATAAACCCACCAACCGAGTCCCACATTTACTGAGCTCTGCCTTCCAGGGATGGTGTGCTGCCTCGTGTGCACAATCTCACTTCACTCTTAGCTGCAAACAGATCAGGAAAGGGAGGCTCAAAGATTCTAAATTCTTTGTTCTGCACTTGCTCAGCCCTGTGACCCTGGGCTGACTTTGGAACCTGTGCCTTTTGTCTCTGTAGGCAGGACTCTTTCAAGGATGCCCCCGGTTAGGGTCCTACCATTTTGTGTTTATTGAGTGGGCGTTTTTCTCTGCCCTACACCTTTGCATAGTGCACACCCCAGGAAGAAACTATGATACACCATTTACCTAAATCTCAGGCAGCTTGGCTCACTTCCCTCAGCTCACAGACGTAGCGTTTGGGGACCTGAGTCCATCAGAATCACAAATTCATGGCGTCTCCTTTTATCGCCCAGAAGGCTCCAGGAGGAACAGCGGATGCTGGTTCCAAAGCAGAAGGGCTTTCAGGAAAACAAAAGATTCCAAACATGTCATCACCTTCTTCTTGTTCTTGTCTGCCTCCTAATTATTCAGAAATTGGATCACAGTGTGGCAGAAATCCAAGTGTTGTACACAGCAGAATTCAAAGATAGAAGGGAACACATACAACCACTGTTGGGTGAGATGCTTTTTTTTCACTGTCATTGGTAAAACCCAGACTCGGAGTGCATTTTCATTCAGCTCTGATGAACTTGGCCCAGGATGTCAGGGACTAAGGAATTCCCCCCCAGAGGTGGCAGAGCTCCATGACCCATCCAGCTCCATTTTAAAAAAAAAAAATGAGCTTATTGACATATCACTCAATAAGGGCTCATCTATCCATTTAAATGCATAATTATACCCTAGTCTAGAAACACTCAGAATCACCCACAACATCTTTCCAAGCATGGTTGTCTGTTTTTGGAGTTGAGGAATGCTCTCTTTCAAGCTACACTGCTTGCTACACATAATGTGATGTTTTGTATTGCTAATGGGTCATTTACCATACTTTGCCACTCAGGCACAACCTTCTTCTTTTTTTTTTTTTTTTTTCCTTTGTGTTTTTCTCTCTCTCTTCTTTTTTTTTTTTTTAATTTTATTTTTTTTAAACATATAATATATTTTTATCCCCAGGGGTACAGGTCTGTGAATCGCCAGGTTTACACACTTCACAGCACTCACCATAGCACATACCCTCCCCAATGTCCATAACCCCACCCCCCTTCTCCCAACCCCCCTCCCCCCCATCAACCCTCAGTTTGTTTTGTGAGATTAAGAGTCACTTATGGTTTGTCTCCCTCCCAATCCCATCTTGTTTCATTTACTCTTCTCCTACCCCCTTAACCCCCCATGTTGCATCTCCTCTCCCTCATATCAGGGAGATAATATGATAGTTGTCTTTCTTCGATTGACTTATTTCGCTAAGCATGATACCCTCTAGTTCCATCCACGTCGTCGCAAATGGCAAGATTTCATTTCTTTTGATGGCTGCATAGTATTCCGTTGTGTATATATACCACATCTTCTTTATCCATTCATCTGTTGTTGGACATCTAGGTTCTTTCCATAGTTTGGCTATTGTAGACATTGCTGCGATAAACATTCGGGTGCACGTGCCCCTTCGGATCACTACGTTTGTATCTTTAGGGTAAATACCCAGTAGTGCAATTGCTGGGTCATAGGGTAGTTCTATTTTCAACATTTTAAGGAACCTCCATGCTGTTTTCCAGAGTGGCTGCACCAGCTTGCGTTCCCACCAACAGTGTAGGAGGGTTCCTCTTTCTCCGCATCCTCGCCAGCATCTGTCATTTCAAGCACAACCTTCTTTACTGTCGTCAGAGGAATGACTTCTCTAGTGACAGTCCTAGGATCTACATCCTGACAAGTCTGGGAGATCACACTCAGTGGGAGGATAGGTCCAACGTACCACCAGACTTTAAAATGGGCTGCTTGGGGCATCTGGGTGGTTCATTCGGTTGAGCGTCTGCCTTTAGCTCAGGTCATGGTCCCGGAGTCCTGGGATCGAGCCCCACGTTGGGCTCTCTGCTCAATGGTGGACCTGCCTCTCCCTCTGCCTTTGTGCTCTCCCTCTCTCTCGAATAAATAAATAAAACCTTAAAAAATTGAAATGGGCTGCTAAAACAAGTAAACAAAAATATAAACGAAATGGGCTGAGAGCTGAAAGGTTTACTGTAGATGGCTTAGGTGAAAATCAGGACGGCTGTATGGACAACTTTACCTGGGAATGATGTTCTGGTGGGAAATACTACGTCTTGTGTGATCTTCCGTCCTGCTCAGTTTTTATGAGGAGGGGGCACTTAAGGGTGATGATCTGTGTAGCCTAATGGTGTATGCCACAGAATAACCCCAAAAGGATTAGAATCCAGAGCCTACACTCTCTTGCTCCCTTGCATATCTGACGATTATCTACATGTCATAAAGCCAGTTTGGTCCGGTCCCACATGGCTTCTCCTCTCTACTGAACAATGTTGCTAGGCTCCATGCCTATATCCCCTTAGGGAGAAGTGGCAGTTTCCTTAGACATCTGAGAAACACTGTTTCGGGGGTACCCATCCCCTGACTGGCTAGTCTTTGCAAAGAGTGAAACTGGGAGCCATCACTACAGTCATCTGAACAACAGGTATAACTTCTGGGGATCTGTTTGTTAACGGAGACTTGTTGAACATTTCTAAACGTCATGCATCGTTCCAAGTAATGGGGTGCCCGGTGAGAATGAAGACAAGTTCTGTTCTGCTAGATTCTTCTCCGTGGAGACATGTGTGGACAGATTCATCCTGAATGAGAATTTCATTGCATGATGTTGAGTGCTGCACGGAAGAGATGTGGGTAGCATGCCTTCCCTTGGCTTCATTATTCTCATCTGCTTTCTTTCCCCATTAGGAGGACTGCTCTGCCTTGGAGTTTTCCTAAGGAATCCTTGTCCTTGGGACGTGTTGGATGGTCCCCGCATCTTCGAGCATCACACGTGCTGGAATTTCCTCCCAGGATTAAGAGAGTGCTGCTCTCTCCCACAATGGGCTCCCGAGAAAACAGCTGGGTGCGTCCTTAACCTCGGGCTCTGTCTATGACCCACCACCGGGGCTCCTCTCCTGGGTCTTTTGCTCCCTGGAAAGCCCTCTCTGTCTGCAGGCTTGCTTCCCGGCTTTGCTTGCTTGGAATCGTGTCACACACAGCCCCTCGGATGTGGCAGTGAACAATGTCGAGACCCAAGGGACTGTTATGGGTGCCGCTGTTCTTCACGCCGGTCTGCGTCATGCTGAACTCCAATGTTCTCCTGTGGATAACGGCTCTTGTCATCCGCTTCACGCTCATCGACAGCCAAGCCCAGTACCCGGTCGTCAACACAAATTATGGCAAAATCCGGGGCCTAAGAACACCATTGCCCAATGAGATTCTGGGTCCAGTGGAACAGTACTTGGGGGTCCCCTATGCTTCGCCCCCCACTGGAGAGAGGCGGTTTCAGCCCCCGGAGCCCCCTTCTTCATGGACTGGAGTTCGGAACGCCACTCAGTTCGCGGCTGTGTGCCCCCAGCATCTCGATGAGAGGTCCTTATTGCACGATATGCTGCCCATCTGGTTTACTGCGAATCTGGATACTTTAATGACCTACGTGCAAGATCAGAATGAGGACTGCCTTTACTTAAACATCTACGTGCCCACGGAAGATGGTAAGTACATCCTTCAAACGCTCAGAGGTCAGATTGGCCAGCAGGCTTTTAGAATGTCCTGTGTGGGATTCATCTTCTATAACCTGGTTGTTCTTTCTTCGTATTCTGAATGCTGCTGTTGCCCTAACGTATAAATTATGACACTCGTATTTATTGAGCATCTAGGAAATGGACAGTGCTATAGTTAATGGCTTAATTACTATCATGCGTTGCCTTTTCAGCGTGTTACAGTGTTTCTTTCTAGTTGATCACCCGTGTCCACATAAAGAGTTACATCGTCTATAAAGAAAGATGATATCTATAGAAAAATCTAGAGAAAACAATAAAATTAAGAACATTGTTATGTCCAAGTTAGCAAACTGAAGGTTATGAAGCAGGGTTTCTTTGGCTTTAATGACTTAAGATTTTAGCTTCCTTCCTTCCTTCCTTCTCTCTTTCCTGCCCCTCCTTACTTTTTTTCTTCCTTCCTCCCTACTTCCCTTCCTTCCTACGTTCCTTCCTTCTCTCTTTTCCTTCCTTCCTTCCTTTTCTCTTTTCCTTCCTTCCTTCCTTCTGTGTTTTCCTTCCTTCCTTGCTTCCTTCTCTCTTTCTTTCCCTCCCTCCCTCCTTTGAGTCTTCAAAGGAAAACCACTCATTGTCTTAACTACACAGGCAAGACACATTTCATAAAATGGATGGCTTTCATTGTGTAGAATCTGTGTTATTAACATCTATGTGCACCTTGTTTCCTTCCAATATTCACAGCGATCCGTGGCAAATCAGTGTCCTTAGATGATTCTGGCTATATTTGGAAATAATGTGCTTGCTTGAACAAAATGGCTCCTTTGTTTTCAATAACATAGCAGTGAAAATTCGTTAAAAAAAAACAACAAAAAACAAAACAATGATGTCTGACTTATCAATTTCATGCAATGGTAGTAACATTCAATAATCTCTTCTGTGTAGGTTTCAAATTAAAAACATTTTTTAGAAAGGCTAACCAGACTAAAGTTGTACTGTAATGTAAACACATTTCTCATTTACCATTTGCACATGCTATTTTTAGGCAAGGAGAGAGAGAAGCCTGGAAAGTAAATCTTCCTGGAATTAAAAGCAGGGATTTACAGGAATCATGGAACTCATCTACTGTAGAAACCGCACTGTGTCCTTTGTCACTTCGAGGGGAGAAATTCCATTTTTCTTTTCCTCGAGTCCTTGGAGAATGATTTTCCATTAAGATTTGGCTGGAGGTCTGAAAGAAGGGATTGCATGCCCCACAATCTCCCTGAGTTGCAATGATGCCACCATATTGTGTTTTCCTGCACGTAAATGGTCCAAGGTAGCTCGCATAGGGAATCTTGAAACACGAGGCCAGGGCTGAGTTACTGGGATCTCAGAGGATGCACAGAGAAAGAAATGGGAAGCTGGGGCTTTATGATGTGAGTAATCTCTGGTGGGGGGTGTCCCTCGTCGTGATGCTAAGAGATCACCCCATTACCTTGTAGGTCTAGGTCTGAATGCAATGCTCAGGGGTTAGAGGGACCCACGGGTGCCCTCTTGGCACTCCATGGGCTGAGGCACATTAGTGGCTGCTTCGTGCACAAGTGTGGACAAGGCTTAGTGCGCCCAAACCCAGGGAGACGTGTCCCTGCAGAAGCCATCTGGGTTGTGGTCTTTCTCGTCCTCAACCCCGGTGTCTAGGAGTCTCTGATGGGACACGCTCCCCTCCTGGCACCCCGGGCACTCCACAGCATGCTTTCCTGCAGAGGCTGGGCTGAAGGAGACCACCCTCGGGGACAAAACTCAATAACCTCCCTGATTACAGAACCAGTGTGGGTGGGCAAGCCCATGGCTCCAAACCATAAACAGTGTGGCCTTTTCCTTGCGGTTCCGTCTTAAATAGGAATTTGGGAACATAAAGAGAGGGAAAGGGCGATCCCGTGGAAAAGCCATGGAACATTTAGAAAAAAACCCCGGGGCCACCTGTTTACATTTTTGGGTTTTTCAGAGCGTCTTTGCCTACAGTGTCTCGCACGATCGTGACAAGAGAATCAGAAACCCAGGTAGAATCTGTTTTCCTATAAATTGGCATTTTGCTGGTGAGTGAAGGTACGTGCCTCATGTTTGTACGAACAACACGTCACAGCCTGTTGTTACGAGTTTTCTGGCTTCTTTTCATCCTTTTTTTTTTTTTTTTTAACATTTGCATCCATTTGAGAATCAATATGGAGCTTTAGATATTTAACTATTGGGAAAAAATTATTGGTTATTCACTTACTGAATAAAACTCCCCATCCTTCATAACCCATTGAAATCACAGCGTCGTGCCGATTTCTCCAAAGACCTCCCTTTTGTGGGCTCTCTTAATTCATATCAGTGCATTTACTTAACAGTGTAGATCACCGTGTTTCAGATTTGGAATTGAGAATTCCGCTCCGACACGTCAGGATTTTAGATCTTTCTTTGGCACAACTTGATCAGGCACAACGAGATGTCGTTGCCAAGAACAGTGCCGAGTATCTACTACATGCCAGGCATGATGTAGACGTTCATGAGGGCAGCAGACCAAGCATTCCTCATTCGGGAAGACAGACACTTGGAGGTAGCATATACACTGCTCCAAGGGGTGTCCAGCCTGATCCATGGAACTGGTCACTCTGTGACCTTCTGTGACAAAGGGGGAATGAATTTAGCTTGGCGCTGGAATTATATTTGCTCATGAGTTGACTTAACCATCAAGGGAGCGGGGTGTTGGATTAGCCGTGTGGGCCCAGTATTTAAGAACAAAGACCTTGGATTGTGGAACAGGGAGACCCAGAACTTCAGAGCTAGCGTTCCGACAATGTTATAAAGACACGACTAGCCTTCTGGACTTTAAGGATGGCATGGGGCCAAGAGGCAAGGACTGTGGGCAGATTCTAGAAGCTAGAGAAGACCAGGAAATGGATTCTCCCTGGGGGCCCCAGAAAGCTGCCCCATCACGCCTGCCATCTTGATTTCAGCCCCGTGCAACTCTGACCTAAAAAACTGTAAGATAATACCCGTTCACTGCTGTTGGATGCCCCCAACATTTGTGGCAGTGTGTTACACACCTATTTGAAAGGCACAGTCAAGTCTCTATCCGAATCGAAACCAAAGTCATTGCTGAAAAATTGCTTTGTGGTGAGCCTTTGGAACCCATACCCATTCTGACACTCTTCTTTGCTTCCCTTTCAACCTCAAGTGTTACTGACAGAAAAACGCTCTTCTCTTAATGCTGGGTCTTTAAAACAGCAGCTTTCCCACACGGGTTCCAGGAAGACAATATGGGTCCTGTCTATGGGGTGGCACTTTGCAGATTTGAGACCTTAAATCTATAGCACATACACCCAACATTTCCCCCACTGGGTTATCACAGTGTTACGGCAAAGCCTACTAAATGTGCTAAAGGGACACTTAAATTTACCCAGGCACCTAAAAGAAATTTCCATGTATGACCTATAGCAAAACATCTATGTCGTCCTCTCACATCCATTAAATGTCACTCACAATGGCAATTGTATCTCTAAATGGCTTCTTGTCCTACATGCTCCTATGCTAGCAAAATATTTTGGGTTCCCCAGTCTTCCTCTCTAGACCTCAAGATCTGATGTATTCTGGCCAGAGTGATGCTTCTTGTTTTTTTCGATTCTTCATGCTCTTTAACGTAAAGTTGGTTCCCTCCTCCCTGCTCCTTAGAGCTTAGAGGAACAGCTCTAGAACCATGCACGCTTGGGTTAAAAATGCCGTCTTGGCCCCTCAGCAGCTGAGGAACTGCAGGCCGGTCACTTGGCTTGTAGGTCACCCCCTGTCCCTTTTCCTTGTGTGTCTGAGATGCTCTGGGAGGGAGGTTAAGTCATATAAAGTGAATTACCCCCATATCCTGCACATGTAACCTCTCTGTAGTCCGATGTTAGCAGAATGTAATCAGTCGTCAGAAAGGGAACCAGAAGGTATCAGCAAAATTGCTTGTGCATATGGGGTCTCATATAAACATTAATCCCATGCATAGTACATGTTTCTTGTCTATAACATAATTATTTATTGTAATCGTGGAGGATTCAGCTTAAGGAACGGGAACAAGGGACCATCATTTCTGACAGGACTGAGTGTGGTTTTAATAAAAGAGAATTTAGAGGGAATACAGTTTTTTTTTTCCTAAGAGCAGAGAATTATTCTGCTCTGTTTTATTCCTAAGCTTTGTCTTTTTCAGCCACAGTTGTGAAATGAATTTCAGCATCCTATGTGAGTTACAGAAATTAATCATCAAGAAAGCTTTAAAATTCATTTCTTGGAAGAGTGTCTTAGAACATCCAAAGACAATAGTGTTCTCTCTCTCTCTCTCTCTCTCTCTCTTTTTGGGGGGGGGTTACGTGAGATAAAGGAGAAATTAATTTCCTTTCTCTTCTCATCAAGTCCCAGATAGTCCAATTGTATGCAGACAGTGGCAGAATCCAGCTGACAAAGGGAAACCTAAGTGAGTTACCACAGCGAGACAGACGTTTGAACCAATCTATATCAGCAGGCAACCGACGGGAAGATAGTTCGGTGATTGCCGTTTTCGTGTGTCCCCTGGATGTTTGACATTGTGTAGACGTTGCTTGTAAGGGAAGAGAATTATGGAAGATGATTAAACAAATATCTACCCGACAGGGGTTCATTGAAAGGAATTTAGCATTTTGTGACGACGGTTTGACTGGAGTACGTTTCTGATCACAGGCGTCTCTCCCCCAGCTCGAAAGTTTTCGCCCATTTGAATGTAGAATCATACCCTTATGGAGTGTTGAGCAATCATGTATGTGAAGAAAATACTATTTGGGTAGTGTGAATTCTACATGTTTGGAAAATAGAGCCAAATCATTTCCCAAGAAGAGACCGATCCCTTATTTCCCATCAGATGAACTCTAACTCCATCCCATTTGCAACTTAGATGTTTCTCACCATTAGAACAAGTCTCAATTATGTACAATGTGTCAAAAATCCAAGTCGCCATATGGGGTGTA